GATGTCTAGTCACTGGAGGCCTGGTCGCTGGACTATGACTCGGCAGGTTCCCCCATTGGAGGCCACAGCCCTGCCCGGGCCTCTTGAGGTCCTGCCTCTCCCTGTTCTGGTAAGCCTCCCTCGCCTGGCCCCAGCAGGCCTCCTGTAGCTGTCCCAGGTGTGCTGTCACATCTGTGGGTTCATGCACCCCTGCCCTTTTCTGCACAGCCTCTTCATAATGCTGTCTCGGTTTCCTCCTTGGGTGAGCCATCTCCTGAGACCCTGGCTGGTCTGACATGTCAGTCATTAACAGCAGTGGCATCAGTGGTATTTCCTCTTTGCAGTCTCCTCCTCTGCCTCTAAAGCTCACCTCAAATGTCACCTCTTCTCGGCCAAGCCTGTCCTCAGCTCCCCCACCTGTCATCATTCTCGGTGCACATGACAGCACTTTGTCCCCACCTCTGCCACAGGACTCACCAAGTTGTGTTGGACTTTCTCTCTTTACACTCGTGTCTCCTCGCAAACCTGGGTGTGGCCCAGACACAGGCCTGGGGTGTGCCTGTGGGGGGAGGAGCCAAATAGCCCCTTTCCCACCTGGAAATAGCCCCTTTCCCACCTCTGTGCCTCAGTTTCCTTATCTGTAAAATGGGAATAAGAGTCTCTCCTTTTTAAAGAATTCAATCCTTCTATGAGAGCATAACAATTATTTTTATTACTCATTAAATGAGTTAATAATTACGAAAGTGTTTAGAGCAGTGCCTGGCCAGTAGTAAATCCTAAGTGTTTGCTAAATAAAATCAAGTGAGGATACATGGTTATAAATCCTATACCCCCCAGCAGCTGCAGCGGGTGGCCCTCCACAAATGCTGGTGGGATGATCAGACCCGGCCATGTGTCTTCTCAGGCTCCCTGGCCTTATCCCGGACTCACTGGGTGCATCTGGCTCTTGCTTTCTTATCTTTCATGCTTTCTTTCTTAAAAACTACTTTATTGGGGTATGACTAACACATAAAACGTTGTATATACTTAGCATCTACAACACGATGCATTTGGGTGTGGACATACATCTGTGAGCCATCTCCACTATCAAGGCCACAGACACAACTTCATCTCACCAAGGCTCTGTGGTGCTAGTTAATTGTAGCCTTGACCCAGTGCTTGGCACATGATCACGCCCTCCTCTTGGTCATCCAACTTCACTTGCTGCTCCCTCTCCCCTTCCTCTCTTCTGAAAGCTGGGGTGCCCCGAGCTCTCCATCTGCTCCGTCTCTCTATGTGGCCCCGTCCGTCTCAGGGATTTAACGCCATTTGCACCCCAAGGCCTCACTGAAGCTTCCCTCCAGTCCAGACCTGCAGCCTTCGCAGTCACCATGCTACGCCAAGTTCTAGCGGGCATCTCAAACTCAAAACATTCAAAACAGAACTCCCGATTTCCACCGCCCCCTAGTCTGTCCCACCTATCTGCCCCTGCTCCCCAAAAGTGGATTCACCCTTGACACCTTTCTCTCCACACCCACAGCCAACCCATCAGCAAAGCCTGTCAGTGTTTCCTGTAATGTGTATCCTGAGTCGAACCCGTTTCACCCTAGTTCACGGCCCTGCCTCTGGCCTGGGCCACACAGGAGCCTCCTGAATGGGGTCCCCTTTGCATTCATGGAGCAGACAGAGCAATCCATTTTAAAGGTAAACCCATCACCCCCTTGCTGGCTTCTTGTTATACTCAGAGCAAAACCCAAAGTTCTGGCCATGGCCCACCAGGCCCCATCACCCCTCTGATCCAATTCCCACCATGCTCCACTGCACAATTTCTCTCAGACACACCGTCCTACTTGATGGTGCAAGCATATGCTTGCCTCGGGGCCTTGACCCTGGTTCCCTCTTCCTAGAATGCTTTTCCATGTATTTCCCAGGGGCTCCTCCCCTTACTTCCTTCAGGTCTCTGCTCAAATGTCACCTCTTCAGAGAGGCCTCCCTGACCGCCCTACCTAAAGCACCACCCTGTTTCTCTCTCTCCCCATGCCCCAGTTGATTTTTTTCATGGCATCTGCCACGCCTTGGCATTACATGGTACTTTGGTACTTACACTGGTATACTTGTTGACTGTCTGCCACCCCCACCAGAATGTGCTCTCCAGGAGGGCAAGGCTTCACTTTGTTTGTCCATGCTTAGAGGACTGCCTGGCACATATTAGGAGCTTGGTCGATATTTACTACTGCATGTGTGAATGAACGAATGATTAGCAAATTCCTAGAAGGCGGTCCTGACCGTGGCCCACCCGGGCCCGGATGCCTGGTTTCAGGCAGGGCACTCCGGAGACACTCATAAAGGCATAACTCCCAAACAGGCAATAAACACTTGAGTCAATGAATAATTGAGTTTGTAGGTGCAGGAGCTGTGAGCAGAAGAGCGGCCTTCCTTCGAAAAGCTGGTTCTCTCAGGGAGGAAACTTAGTCTCTGATCGTGCCCTGCCCTCAGTCCTGGCCCAAGGCTGTCACATTACTGGTAGGGCACACAAGGGCTTTGAGTGCCATGGAGGCAGCTGCACAAGCCAAGAGGGGCAGATGCCTGGAGCCTGTGGGCTCACATAGCAACACGTTCCACGGGTATCGGCTGGGAGTAGGGTGGCGACTGCGGGCCCAGAGCACCCCGTACTTGAACCCCTGCTGAATCCTAACTGTCTGGTGAGGTAAGCACTACAAATCCACCTCACAGCTGAGGAAACTAGAGCTCAGAGACTTTAAGTGGCTTGCCTAAGTTCTCACGGACAGTGACAGGGTTGAGATCTGACCCCAGTTTTGCCTACTTTAGATAATAAACATTGGTGGACATTTGTTGAGGACTCCCTAAATGCCAGGGTCTACATAAGCTCCCCAAACACACATAGATCTCATTCAGCATTCATGATGATCTTATTGGATAAATACTGTTATTCTCATTTTACAAATTAGATCACTGAAGCACAGAGAGCTTAATAACTTGCTCAAGGTCACATAGCAATGTCCATTATAGCACATGACCTTAAATACTACCTCTAACAACAAAGGATGTAGATTTTGAACCATTCCCCAGGGGTAAATTTGCTCCAAACATTGAGGAAAGGAACTCTAGAAAGCAAACGACAGCAAGCTGTACATTCCACCCAGCATGTCTCTGGGGAGTGCCCTCATCTCTAGCCTCTGTTGCTTTGTCCTCTCTTCCCAGTTCCCGGATGATCCCCAACCTGGGAGGGGAAGGCTGCTGCTGTCTCCAAGGCAGTAGGGCGCAAAGTCCAGCCCAGGCGTGCCCAGCATAGTGCCCGCCCCACCTGCACACAGGGGCATTAATAGGTAATGACTCTTGAGATGAGGAAGAGCAGGGCAGAGGAAGCATGGAGGCCCTTGGAAACGCTTGGGGCCTCGAGAGGGAGAACAGAGCAAATCCAGGGGTTGAGCCAGACACCAGGGACCCCAGAAGTAATTCTTACAAAAGATCGGAGGAGAGACACCTGGGAGAAGGCAAAAGAAGGCCGAACTTTACTTTCAGCCCAGGGGCAGGGAAGCGAAATTCAAGCCTCAGTCTAAGGGTGCGGGACAGGAGGCTGAGCTCCTTCAAAGTGGGTTGTCTGAAATTTATACTCACCAAACATCCTCAGCGGCTGAAATTTCTCCTGACGCGTCCCTTTGCAATAGGATGCACTGGTGAACACTGTCTCGTGCTGCCCTTGATAGTCACAGCCCCCACAATCCTGCTCAAATTCCAGCTACCTCTTACCCCTGGGAGCAGGACTCGGAATGCCCAAGGTCTTGTTTTTAGGAGACTTCTGCCAGTATGAGTTGTCCCTTCTGTGTCCCTACTGAACCATGATGCCACGCTCAGTTCCCAGAATTACTAGTGTACAGTCTGCCACCCATCCTCACAACCAGCAATTTGAGGGCACAGACTGGGCCTATCAGAGAGTGGATGCTAAAAATATGTTCATTAAATGAATAATGGACCCCCAGATCCTGGCTCTAACCCTTGGCTCTTAGCTTCTGTGGTTCCCACACTGGCTGACTCCTTGGGCTCCTCTGGGCTTTTTATGGGAAGGAAGGGGTTAAGCACCCTGACTTTGCCTTCCTGAGCTCAGCCCCTCAGAGCCAGCTTGATCTAAAGACACTGTCCCAGGGTTCTGGGAGAATCTCAGGTCACACAGTTGCCTGCACCTCAGACAGGGCCTGTGGGTAGTTCTGACACCCCTGATTTCAACCCAAGACTCTGAGGCCAGGTAGGAAGGTCTGCTGGGTCTCCTCAATGGTCCTCTCTAGGTCAATTGGGAATAGTTCTGGAAATACCCTGGGTAAAATCCAATAATGGTCTTGGAGGATCCTAAGCCACCCATGAGGCCCTGCACTGGGACAAGCCAGGGCAGATACAACTCTGCTGGAAGAATCTAGTGTCCAGAGCCCAGCTCCTCACAGCCTCTGTGCCCCCTCCTCCCTACCCCACTGCCAGGGCCTGTTCCCCAGTTGCTTTTCAGGCCCTAAGAAATGCCCTTGGGCAGGTAGGGTCTCCCTGAAAGGCTTTAAGGTCAATTAGTAGAGAGAGACATCCAGTTTCCTTTCTGCGGATCCTCACCCCTCAGATACTGCCCGGACTCTCTCCACATGCTCAGACAGTCCTGAGTTTGGGGGCACTAGGAGGGAAGGGGGTTTGCCCATGATGGGGCACCTCAGAGAAGTGGCCTGTCTCAGGCCAAGGTGGAAGGAATTTCAGCCCCAGAGACAACCCAACCCCTGGAGAGCAGAAGAAGAAGGGCACTTTCGGGCGATCGCCTGATCGATTAAGGTGGCAGTCCCTATTCCTAGAGTCCCAGTGTCCTCTCCTCATTTTACTGGGGATCCCCGGCTGTCAGCCCAACGGCCGTCAGGTGTCTCAGGCCACTCAAAGCCACCAGGCTGGACTGGAAAAGGGAGGGGTAGTGCCAGGGTGTCCATCCCCCACCCATCCCACCCAGGACTCCAGAGTCCCCGAAGCCTGGGACACCCCTCCCTCGCAGCTCTGACCTTGTGCCGGAATTCTCGGGCCACCTTTCTGTCCATGGTTGGGCCAGATCGAGCCGCGTCGCTGCACAACTCGCTCCTTCGGGGGCCCGGCCACCGGGAGCTGGCGGGAGCAGCGACCGTGACCCGCCGAGCCGCCCTCGGAACTGGGGGCGGAGCCTGAGAGCTGAGGGGCGGGTCCCGGGCGGGGGAAGAGGCGGGGCCGATAGGGGGCGGGGCCACGGGGAGACCGGAGACACCTGTGCTGAATCTTGGTTTCCCACTGAAGCCCCGGGAGCAAATGGGCCCGAGTGTGGCTGTGGTGGTGGCGGCAGTCGTTGGGCTTGAGGCTGCTGTTCCTCTTGGAGTGGTCCCCAAAATCAGGCGATTGAGGAGAGGATCGCTGAGACGTGGGGAAAATGTTTGGGACTTTTTTGGGGGGGACCGGAATATAGAAATCCTGAGACCCTTCACATGGGTGGGCAGGGGCTGGGGTAATCTGCCAGCTTTCTCAGGATACTCCTGCAGAGACCAATCTTCCTGAGGCTGTCAGGCCTTGCCGCGCCGCTCACCTTCAGCGCAGGTTCCATCATGGCCTCCTCCAGGCACTTCTCCCACTTGGAAGAAATCAGTTCTTGATCTGTGATTCCTTGGGGACAGGGCTGGGTCTTACTGTGACCCGCAGAAACCTGAACCAGTGTGTGGGAGTGCCCCCCTTCAACCGACTTCCCCTCTCTCTTTCCCTAGCACCACCCTCCACCCTTCCCACCCCCTAACCGCCCCCCCCAGCAACAAAACAAACCCCATTCTGATTTATGGCTGATCTTCACCCAGGGCCCAGACCCTCTGGTTCATTTGATCCAATTCAGTTAATGTTTGCTTAACTGCTAGGTCTAGTGCTGGGTGCAAAGCCAATGACAAACTAGACCTGGGACAGACTGAGAGGCAAGATGGACTGGGAGAAGGGTGATAAAAAGCATGGGGGCTTAAATTATGGAACTTGTGCCTGAACTTAACCCAGGATAGTTGTCTGACCCCTTTGTGCTGTGGCAGGAGAAGGGGTAAGGGGGTGAACAGCAGCCATATTGAGTAACCACCTAAAATAGGAACATCAGGGACACCTAAAGCTTCCTCTCTGCATCCTTCCCCAAAGGCTGAGTTTTGTAGGCAGACTATTTCTACTTGGGCTAAATGATTGCCTAGTTTAAAATGTAAATCCCCTTTTAAGATTTTAAGAAAATCTTAAAATATTATCTGTGTTCTCACCTTAGTATTAAGTATTAAGAGATAAAAGAAAAAGACTTGTGGGATTTTTCAGTGATCCAGAAAAGAATGCAAAATACATTTCCCTCCAAGTTACTTCACTGATACTTTACATTTTAAAGATAAGTCATGTGGCTGTTCATTTCACATTTAGAATCCAGGCAGAGTGACAAATGCCCTTACCCAGGGGATTGCTGTCTACTGGTCACCTCAATCCTTTTTTTACATGACCACTGCCCCCACAGACTCCCTCCATCTTAAAAGGCTCCTAGGCCGGGCACAGTGGTTCACACCTATAATCCGAGCACTTTGGGAGGCCGAGGCAGGCAGATTGCTTGAGCCCAGGAGTTCATCTCTACAAAAAAAAAAAGCCGGGCATGGTGGTGTGAGCTGTAGCCCCATCTACTCGAGATGCTGAGGTGGAAGGATCACCTGAGCCCAGGATGTCAAGGCTACCGTGAACTGTGATCATTGTAATCATGCCATTGCATTCCAGCCTAGGCAACAGAGTGAGACTCCCAACTAAAAAAAAATAAAAAAAAAAGGCTTCCCTTTTTGTTTTGAGGCCAGCACAGAGCCCTGGGTCTCCTCTCCCAGGAATGTTCTTCTTGTGAGACATCCCACCTTCCTCCTATCTTTAATCAACGTTCTTGAAGGCTCCATCCTCAGCTCTCTCCTTTTCACCTTCCCATCCTCTTCATGGTTTCTTCCCATGTGGGGTCAGCCATATGTGCTTTATTTATCACTATATGCCTAGAACAGTGCCTGGCATGAACAGATGCTCAACAAATTTGTGGAGTGGATGCATGAATGAACAAATGAATGCATTCAAATTTTATACTCCTGCTTAAGGGTCTGCTGAGGCCAATTTCATTACCATCATCCTTATCACCTGCCAGGCCTGGCATCTAGTTGGTGTTCCCTGTGTGCTGGCCAAGGGAGTGATGTACAGGGTCCCAGGGCTCTTGATCCCATCATTTCACCATTTAAAAAATCCCCATGGGCAGAAAGTGTGCCTTGTTACAAAATTATAGTCGTCTCTGTGAAAGTCTGACCTTCATGGAGGCAAGAACATAAACGTAGGAGACACTTTTGTTATTCAGTCCCCGTGCTGGGGCCTGAGTTGGGGCTGGGCATCCCCAGGACTAAGGCCTGGTCCATTCCGAAGAGGGGCTCATGCTGGGTGTAGGTGGGGCTTTGGGGACCCAGATGGAGGCTGTAATGGGGAGTGATGGAAGCCTAGGCTAGGACTCCGAAGGCTGTGCTCCTCACCACGGACTCCTGAGTGGCGTCCCAGGGCCTCAGCATGGCCCTCTGTGCGAGGGCAGGGCCAGACTCCTGCTAGCATCTTGGGTCTCTGCCTCCTTGCTCCCCCAGGGGACTCAGGGCTGAGTCATCTAATCCACCCTCCCCCAGGGAAGGGTAGCCAGGGGCCAAGGGCTGGCGCTGGGCCGGAGCCGGCGCCTAAATTATGGTAATGAGCTGGGCACTCCAGTCACTCCAGCTCGGGGAGGAGCCAAGCGCCCGAGAGGCGGGGCCGAGGGAGCCCCGGAGCATGAGAGCGAGAGGGACTGCGGCCCGGAGTGGAGGTGTGACCTGCCTTGGCCGGAGCCGCACCTCGGGAGTCTGGCCTTGCGCTCAGGCTCCCTGGCCCCCCGCGAGCCCCCATGGGAGCCCCGGTGCCCGCGCTCTGCTGGCTGCTCGTTTGCTTCTGGCTGCCCTGGGCCGAGCCGGCTGGGGAGTCCCCGCGGGTGCAGCGTCTCGGTGAGAGGGGTGTGGACTCGGGGAGCCGGGACTGGGGCATCGTTCAGAGTAATGTTAAGGGAAGGAGCCTGGGCAGGTTGGAGAGAGGGAGGAAGAGAGAAAGTCCGAGAGCGGACTGAGGGACTGCTGGGGGAGGCTCAGGGGAGGAGGAGAACCGCAGGCCAGGGACCGGGAGGAGGAAAGAGTCCCAAGCTGGGCAGGGTGGAGGGGACCCAAGGGGGGAAACTAGGGGGAACTGAGGCCCAAGGAGGTAGAGGACAAAGGGAGACCCTTGTCGGAGAAAGGTAGCCAGGAGGGGTAGGGAGGTTTGAAAAGGTTGCAAGGAGAAAGAATGGGGAACGTGGGATGATGGGGAGGCTTTGTAGCACGTGAGGGATGGGATGGGGGGGCAATAAAGAGAAGCATAACTTGACTGGAGAATCATCCCCCTCCTCAGCCGGGACACCCACAGCGTGGGGCGGTGTAGAGCTACAGCCAGAGCCTGCTGGGGAGCCCAGGTGAGTAGGTGGGAGCTTGTGTCTGGCCCGCACCCTGCTCCTGACTTTATTCCTGGCATAGGTGACCCCAGGGGCTTAGTGTGTAGGGTGAGATGTGCCTGGGGTGGTGGGGAGGCATGACCCATTCCTAGCCCCCCACCTATGCCAGATTTGTTTCTTATCTAGCAGCAACCACCCGGAGGCAACCCTAGCCATAGGAGCTGCTACAACAGTGATAGGAAGCCAGGTAAGGGAAGGTGCATGGAAGGGCACCTTCACTGGGCAGGGGCTTGTTTCTGTCTGGATCCGAGGTTGGCCTGGAGCTCTGTAGGTTACAGGAGGGCTGTCTCTGGAGTTCTTCAGGAGGGAACACACAGATTTCCGGTATGTGTCTAAGCTGTACAATTCATAAAACACTTCCATTCCCCACGTTCCTACTCTCTGGGGGCCCTGTGGTCAGCTCAGTTATTTTTAGGAGAAGTGAGCCCTTTCAGGATACAGCTGTGAAATCAGGAAGATGAGCTTTTAGGAGCGTGGAGGTCTCTTTCCCTGCCTTGCCTGCGGAGGCCCTCAGCCCTGTCAGAGGCCCCTGTCCAAACCCTGAGCAGAGCCCCAGGAATGCTGCCCTGAGAGGCCAGGCAAAAACTGGGCCGCCTGGTGGAGGCTGCAAGGAAGGGCTGGTTCAGGAGCGGAGCATGGAGTTCCTGTCCTTTGAGTCGTGACCATCCTGTCATCTACACTCCTGGGATCCCCTGAAGTTTGGTTTTCTCCCTTTACCACATGCCCTTGGTCTCTGGATCAGGTGACTCACGTCCTCCTTCTAATCCTGGCCTGTCCTGTCCCCTTTCAAAACCACAGACAAGTTACAGATTCCGCCCACCTGCTCCAGGTTCCCCCAGAGCAGCGTGAGCTCGTACACTCCAGAGATCAGTTCGGCACAGCCCCTAGAGCCAGCCGGGTGGGAAGTGTTATTAGAACAGCAAAGGCCCCAACTACCTGCCATGTGGAAACAGAAATGAAGGCCCCAGGGTGGGGTGGGGGTAGAATGGGGTGGGCATACTTCTCCCATGTGGCTTTTCTGGGTCTTTTACTTCTCATTTGCCTGCTCATCCAGGCCTAGGTTTTAGAGTTATAGTCAGAGACAATTTGAGTTGAAAGGTAATATAGTCTTTTATTTTTTTATTTTTGGCCGGGGTGGGGGTGGGGGGAATGTCAAGATCTCATTCCAGGCTATAGTACAGGGGCATGATCATGACCATCATGGCTCACAGCAGCCTCCACCTCTTGGGCTCAGGCAATTCTTCCATCTCAGCATCCCAAGAAGCTGGGACTACAGGCATACACCACCACACCTGGCTATTTTTTTTTTTTTTGTAGACATGAGGTTGTGCTATGTTACTCAGGCTGGTCTTGAATTCCTGGGCTCTAGCAGCCCATCTGTCTTGGCTTCCCAAAGTGCTGGGATTATGGGCATGAGCCACTGCGTCTGGCCTAGTTCTTATTTTTGTAGGTAGAGAAACTGGGGTGGATGACTTGCTGGGACCCTACAATGGAGCAAAGTCTCCTGGTAGAGAGCCAGGCCTGCTCTTCCATACCATGAATGCCCACTGGACCCCAGGAAGCCCGTGTTTAGTGGGGAAAATGATCCTTATCCAAGCATCTCATTACCTAGCAGGCTTCCTTGCTGCTTTCCAGGGTTGATAGTCCCCGTTTTCCTTAGGGAAGGGTCACAAGTATCAAACAGGCAACCTGGGCAGGTTTCTCACATTACTCCTCAGAGCAACAAGGAGTTAGAATGGCCTCCCTCTAAGGCAACTGGATAGAAGGGGGTACTGAAGCCCATGTACCAGGGTCACTTCAAGGGCTCCTATCTGGAATGCCCTCACTGGCAGGAAAGTGGGGCTGGGTCCCAGACCACAGGCAACCAATCTTCATTTCAACACTGCCCACCCCTCCAGAGCTCAGCCACACTCCAGACAACAGTTGCTCTAGAGGGGTCCATGAACTTAGATGAAAAAAAAATGCATTTTTATTTATAGGAACCTCAGTTCAACTGGAATTTAGCATCCCTTTCCATTAATACTATAGTCTACAGACCACATGAGTATGTGCAGTGTCTGTGACTGTCACCAACAGAAATCATATAGATTTTTCTATCACCTTATAGGTGTTGTTATCTTAAGATGTCATTTATAATTGTCACTGCTTGGAAATTTTGGCAGTGATAATGCTGCTGCTAGATCTTGTTATTTAATGCGATTATAAATTATAGAGGCACAGATATTACTAAATTACACATTTTATAACATATGGTTTTAAATTTTTAAAAAATAAAATCTGTTTGACAATATTGCAATATAACTGATTTTCTTTCTAAATTTGTACTTTGTTTTATATTTAACTTATACTTTTGTTTTTTTAATTTAAAAAGCATCATTCTACCACGTGTGGTAGCTGTAATCCCACCACTTTGGGAGACTTAGGTAGGAGGGTCACTTTAGGTAACGAGTTTGAGACCAGCCTGGGCAACATAGTGAGACCCCATTTCTACAAAAAAAAAGAAAAAAAAAAAAAACAGGTGTGGTGGCATATGCCTGTAGTCTCAGCTATTTGGGAGACTGAGGTGGAAAGATTGCCTGAGCCCAGGAAGTCAAGACTGTGAGGACCCAGGATACCACTGTATTCCCATCCAGGTGACAGAGAGAGACCTCAACTCAAACAAACAAAAAATTAGCCAGACATGCATGTGCATGTAGACCCAACTACTGGGAAGGCTGAGGTGGGAGGATCACTTGAACCCATCATCGCACTCTAGCCTGGGTGACAGAGTGAAATCCCATCTCAAAAAAAAGCCCAATTGATGGTAATAATAATAATAAACAGTATTCGGAGAAGGTGTCCACATAGGCTTCAAGGTTTCATTAGATTTCCAAAGGGCTTCATGGCATAAATGATTAAGAACCCCTGACTGATCCTGAAGATTAATCACTTGGATAAGACTTTTAAAATTTTTCAGAAAATGACTTGTGACTCTTTATTCATGGCTGTCTTATCCTCACCACACTAATTTCAGAAGCCACATCTAAAGTGGGGGCGGGGAGTGGAGACACAGGCTAAGTTTAATCGGAGCTCTCTGGTGGCTTCGGGACCATGGTGGCAGCCGTTTTCTGACATACCCTCTTGCGTTTCATGTGGTCTCTGAGGGTAAGGTAGATGACTACCAGGGTGGGTACTACCAGGGGAGGCACCGGGAACCAGGGGCCAAGGTGGGGTAAGGACACTGAAACCTGGCCAAGGGTGTCAGAAGGACAGTGAAGAGGAAGGGTGTGAGCATTAGGGGATGATGTAGCCAGACTGTGCCTGCCAAGGAGGGGCAGAGCGCTGAGGCTAAGCTCTAGGAAGCAAGGGCTGAGAAAATCCCATGTTCAAGCTGGAGGATGGGCTTCAACCTGGGGGTGCAGAGATGGCAGGCAGGAGAAACTCATGATGCAAACACCCACAGTGCAGTTTGTGACTCGTCAGCCCTGTGAACAAGGATGTAAGCACCATGAGGACAGGAACACCTGTTCCCTGCACCTAGCACAATGCATGGTACATGGTTCTAGAGACCTTGTATATATGAGGAGGCTGAGCCTCTAAGAGGAGGTACCAGGCTTCATACACCTCAGACTCGAGTTCTGAGAGGGAGAGCATCTGAAGTCATCCAGCCGTGTGGTGACCCGTGACATTAGGGCAGTCCTAATTTCAGATGATTTAGTCTAGAGAGACCATGCATTGGAGACCTTGTCTGAAAAATAGTTTCTGGACTCCTCCACAGACCTGTGGAGGGAAAGCATCCACCCTTGGAACCGAGTTCTAAGGACAGTGGGTGGTGATCTGTGAGGTACTGTTTTTGCTGAAAGCATCTCAAAGGAAGGGTAGGGTGGGAGGGGGTGAGGTGTTCCCCTGACCTGGGGTGAGGGCCTGTCTTTGTTCCTTAACTCTGCCTCATCTTTGTTCTCCAGACAAGGGGGTTTTGTGTGGGACTGTGGAGGACACAAAGGTCTATTTGGGAAGGAGGCAGTGGAGGGGGGAGGCGGGAAGTACCGGAGCGTGGAGGAGAGGGCATGTTCAGGCTGCAGGCCTCACCAGCCTCCACAGAGATGCCACTTGGGAGGGTAGAAGCCGGGCTTTTGCCTCTCTGGGCCTAGGCCTGATAATTCTCCGGTACCTCCAGGGAGGTCAGGAGAGGTGAAGTGGCGGAGACACCAAGGAACCTCTAGGAAGTACCTCTAGGGGTGAACAAGAAAGATTGTGGCCTCCAAGAAGGCTGGGTGAGCTGGCCCAAAGGTCAACCCGTGACTGTGTTCTCTTCCTCCTCCCACCCTAAAAAGGAGACTGAAGCCCTGGACTCTTTGGCCATGTCTTCCTGGGAAAGACGGCTCCACCGGGCCAAGTGTGCACCATCTTGTGAGTGGCACCCTCGCTGTAACCTGTGGGTTGTGCATGGGAGGGCCCTGGCCCACTGAGAGGCCTGTGAGGGCAAGCAGGAGCTTCCCGCAGGTGCCCTGTGACCCCTCTCCCTGCTTGGGGTCTCTGTCTATCTTCCCTAGCCCTGGCCTCCCCCGCCTTCCTGCTTCCTCCTTCCCGCCTGAGGAGAGCTTCCTCTCCGGGGTCCTGTTCTTGTGCCCAGGGCCCAGGGGCCTCCCCACACACTACCTGACTCTGTACCTAGTGGCTGTTGCTCCTCCACTTCACCTGCTTCTGTGACCTCGTCCTACTTCCTGTGGCATTGCCCTTTAGATGTTGTGTTTTTCTGTGGCCTCCCCTTCACCTGTCCTGTGTCCATGGTCCCCCCTCACCTGTTCTGTGCCCATGGCCTCCCCCTCACCTGTCCTGTGTCCATGGCCTCCCTCACCTGTCCTGTGTCATGGCTTCCCCACTCACCTCTCCGGGGGTCTCCCTGCTCACCCCACCTGTTTCCCATTCTCAGTTTCACCTGCCTTGACTGCTAGACAAAACTTGGGCCACTTAATGTACACTCAGGACAGATCCTGGATCCAACCCCACCTGCCCGCTGGAGAGGGGCAGGACTGTAGTCTGAGGCTCCTGGCTTGTGCCCCCATTCAGGCTAGCTGCTAAGTGCTGGGGCCGCCCATGCAGGCTCTGGGCTCCAGGAAGCCTAGGAGGGCCGCGGGAGGCAGGGGCTGCGTGCCGGGCTTCTGCCATCCCGACTGACAGGGTCGTGCCTCTGTGTCTCCCCTGCAGACTTGTTCTCCTGCTTCAATGGGGGTGAGTGTGTGCACCTAGCCTTCTGTGACTGCAGACGCTTCAATGCCACAGGACTGCGCTGCCAGATGGGTGGGTCTGGGCTCCTTGGTGCAGGGAAGGACAAGGAAGGAAAGGGGTAGCCCTGCCAGGGCTGGAACCCACCAGCCCCAGTGTGGTGTTCACTTCAGCTACACCAAGAGGCTCTCTCTTCCCTGCCTTAGTGTACAATGCCGGCCCTGAGCGGGACAGCATCTGCCGGGCATGGGGGCAGCACCACGTGGAGACATTTGATGGCCTCTACTACTACCTCTCCGGGAAGGGCAGCTACACGCTGGTGGGGCGCCATGAGCCCGAGGGGCAGAGCTTCTCTGTCCAGGTAAGGCCCCTGCCCTGCCCTGCCTGTCCAGAAAGGCTCCTCTGGGTCCCAGAAGCTGGCCTGGCATGGTTAGAGAGACTGGCATCTTCTTTCCCGGGCACCCAGAAAGTCTGCCTCTGGAGTCAGCTGTGGACACACCACTCATGCCTGGCAGCCCCTTCCACTCATTCAGTCACTCATGCACCAAATGTTCTTGAAGTGCACACTGTGCTGGTGCCCTTGATTTTGGGGTGGGAGGTCCTGTGGACAACAGCACAGATGTGATCTTCCTCCCCATGGAACTTACGGTCTAAGGAAGAAAACAGACATCCAGTCAGAGAAATCAGTTTAAGTGTGACTGAGTGCCACTGAGGAGAGATGCCAAACGCTAAAAGAGCATGTCATGGAAACTTAATCTTGTTTATTGGAAAGGATGGTGATCAGAGAAAGCTTCCTGGAGGAAGTGACATTTAAGTTGGGTCTGAGGAATAAATAAGAGTTAGCCAAGTGAAGAGTAGGAGGAATGGGGTGGATGTGAGAACATTTTGGGCAAAGGGAACGTTAAATGCTAAGAAGGAGCGTGGTACCTTAGGAGACATGATGGAGGTCCTAGATGACTCAGTTTAGAGCCACCTCTTCCAAGAAGTCTTCCTGGATCCCCTGACCTCCTATGCTGGCTGAGGAAGCCAGCATTTCTCATACAACGGTCTGTTTCTGGGTTGGTGTCCTCTTCCAGACATAAGCTTTCTAGACCGAGGCTATGTCTTTCTGTTTGGTGCTACCTGTGCCTGGATGAGTGCTCAGTAAGCGTTTGTGAACTATAGGAGCACACGTGTGACAGTCGGTGTCAGGCAGACCTGATCTACTCCATGTACTAGGTGGAGGGTCATCTTTGGGCACAGGTCGTACATCTCCCCCTGGAGGAATGCCTTGCCTGAGAAGCAGAACTGCTGGGGGCACCTTGGTCAGTACTGAGTTCAGGCCAAAGAGCCGGAGTTTGGGGGAGATCCTGGTGCTCAATGTCACTTCTCTGCCAGTCAGCTATGTTCTTTCTGCCTCAGGCATGGACCTACCAGGCTGCCCTAGGGACCGTGCCCTGGATGGGTGGGAGCTACAAAAATTCTGTCCTCTCTGCCTCAGGCTATCAAGCTTCAGAGACTCCCATGACTGCCATTTCGTGATGGATCTGTTACAATTACTTAGACTAATGGGCTGCCTCACGTTAGTGGGTTATGAAATCAATGTAATGAATCACAACCAGCATTAAAAAAAAAAAAGGAGAAAGAAAGAGAATAGAAAATATTGTAAGGTCAGGCATGGTGGCTTATGCCAGCACTTTGGGAGGCAGAGTTGAGAGGATTGCCTGAGCCTAGGGGTTCGTGACCAGCCTGGACAACTTGGCAAGACCTTGTCTCTACAATAAATAAAAAAATTAGCCAGGTGTGGTGGCACATGCCTGTAGTCCCAGCTACTTGGAAGACTGAGGCAGAAGGATTGCCTGAGCCCAACAGGTTGAGCATGCCACTGCATCTAGCCTGGGCAAAAAAGTGAGACTCTGACTCAGGGAAAAAAAAAAAAATTAAGAATGCATTACACATTCATGGTTTTTTTT